CTGGCACAACGGGACACCGTGGCGAGTGCCAGCACGCATGGAAATGCCGTTTAGCTAATATATTTAGGTGTCAACCAAACCTTTAATTTCAAACAGTGCAGGTTTTAAGACAGGAATTTGCAACCTGTGGCCCTCAATATGTTGTTGACTACAGTTCCCATTATCATTGCCCATGCTAGCTGGGGCTCATAGGAGCTGGAGTCTAGCATAACTTGGAAGGCCACAAATTCCTCATCTCTAGTTTCAGGGGCCATAGTGTTCTCCTTGTCTGAAACTCATATACCAACAGAGCCACGGGAGTAAACAACACTGATGAAACTGAATTCTGTGAAGACTAGTCTTAGCCTACTGTGACAAACCTCTTAAAAAAACAAAACAATATCCCTTAGTTACCAACAACCTCCATCCCACGTCTTATGTAGTTAGGCCAACGTTTATAATGTTGCTAAAGTTATTTTGGAGAAGCGCTGAAATATTCTAGCCCATTGGTTTCAGACAGGGAACCACTGCTTCCACCTAGTGGAAAACAGCAATAAAGAGTGTAGCACAGACCAGAGGTTGGATTTTTACTTCTACTTCTACAATTCTACTTCTCTTATATCTCTCTTTCCTTCCTTGATAACTTTTGGAAGCATTGGAGATGTTGAGGGAGACATTAACTCTCTCCATTCCAGGATTTTTGGTTTTTTTTAGATGAGATAAACATACTGGGGGAAACTGAAACTCATGCAATACATATGCAATTGCAATATTTATATAACCAGAGGATTAAGAACTAGCAGAAAATGTGACATTCCACCACATGTTTAGGACACAGGATTCTTTAGCAGTGTTTCAGCACATATGAGAGGATTGGGATCTCAAATTTGCTGTAACACAACAGAATTTCTATAGCAGTACTAGAGAAACACAATGCAAAGACAGGAAACAGAAAGGACTACACACAACAAGAGACCTTTATAGTGGAATGAAGCCTCTTGCTGGAGTACAAATAAAGAATGGTTTAACAAACAATTCATCTTCTCTGGAAACACTGGCAATTATAGCTCTGTGAGGGGAAACATGAGTCTCCTAACAACTCTTAGCAGCTAGAACAAAATACAGACCCCAGGATTCTTTGGGGAAAGCCATGACGGTTCACAGTGGTAGGATAGTTCTTTAAATGTTTGGTGTAGGTGGGGCTAAAGTTGGATGCAACCCTCAGTTTTTAATGTTTTATCTGGTGCATTATATAAATGTTGTGAACACTTGAACACTCTTGCTAAAAACTGTATATATATCAAACACACATTACATAGTGAGACTTACGTATGGTCTACAAAATAGACCGCAATATTTCCAAAACTACAGAACGAATGGAATTTCTATCAAAAGGCCTTTCAGCTCAGATACAACTCTAGAAGCAAGATAGAGATGCATCTTCCATCTTTTTTTCCACTTCCACTGAACCCTTCAAAGAGCTCAAGGTAGGCTTTCTGTCAACAAAGAAAGGTGTTGTGTTTAAATATTACTCACTTAACCACTTCCTTTTATGTTTGTAGCTGATGTACAAACCCTGCAGATGTTTTCTGGTGGTTTCTATACATACATTAAAAAAACAACAGAGCCATGAACCAGCCCTCTCCTCTTCACGAACGATATAATCAGTAACAACATTTGAACAAAATCGGGATAAACAGTAGGAGCGATATTCAACTAAGCCTGCGTAAACACTACACTTTTAAAGCACATTCAAAGTGTGTTTCCCTCCATAGAATTCTAGGCACTGCAGTTTACCTCTCACTGAGCTACAATTCCCAGCAACCAATGTGCCCAGAATTCTTTTTTGGGGGTGTGGAATGTGCTTCAAAGGTACAGCTTAGTGTGTATGCAGCCTACGTCTCTGGCACAGCTCAGTCAGTTGAGCATGAGACTCTTAATGTCGGGGTCATGTTTTCAAGCCCCACGTTGGGCAAAAGATTCCTGCATTGTAGGGAGTAGGTGGTCCCTTCCAAGACTACAATTCTATTATTCTAAGAGTAGACCCACTGGTTTTAGTGGGTCTACTTAGAGGATAGCTAATGGTGGATATCATCTTAGGTCTCTCCAGTCTCCAATAACATGCTTCATAACACAAAAGAGTAGCAGTATTTGTGCAGGAAGATGACAGTTGCAATATCTAAAGACAATCAACCATTTCGTGACAGGGGATTTGGGTGGAAACAGATTACTTCATCAGCTGCATTAAGAGGACGGATAAAGTACTAGCTAGAGATACCATGTGTGAGATACAGGGGTGACAGAATGAGGGTATCTTAAAAAAACCAAAACTATTAGAGCAACTCAGATTACAGCAATTAAGGTATAATCTCTTTTCAGTCACTCCCCTCATAAAACTAAATTCAGGTATCTTCAACAGTCTTTCACCATAGGAAAGTGATAAAATAAGAGAATAAATGAATAAAACAGATGGGAATGAAAAATGGTCTTCACAGAAGCCCATACTGCTTTAGTCAGACCTTCTATATTTATCATCAAATAGTACTGTTTCATTTACAGTCAGTTGTATCAGCCTCTAAAATTAAATCCAATATTAAAGAGGGAATTGTATGCTTTCCATGGGTGCAGCATCAGTTTCGGCTATGAAATACACTCTCGGACTTAGATCTTCTATCAGGGAGTGCTTGAATAGGTATTGGGATCCAAATATCCGAAAGGGCACATCTTCCCATAGCAGCCTGTTGCCCAGGCTCCATTTAACACAATAGGACTTCTAAGTAAGCATGCGTGGAAGTGCACCATTAGTCACAACTAATTTTAGCTGGATTGAAACCAATAAATTATGCACTGTTTCTACCGCTTGAGGCCAATTTCCAATACTGAAACAGCAACCACAACATACACACCCTTCTCAGTGTTTTGCCGCTTACAACACAGATTAAGGCATTATAATAGCAGCAATGTTTCAGTTTTACCTCAAGCTGTCCCCACCCATCCTGGCTTTCCAAAGATCAAGAGTATATGTCTGTGATTGGATCATGCAGTTTTCGATGTGCTTGACATTGTCCTGGCTTGACACCTTGCTTTACACACACAGCCTCTTCATAGGCATCAGCATTTTATTATCATTATCAGTCAGCCATCCTAGAAGCCTTCCAAGACTTAAGTTTATTATCTTGAACTTTATTTGGTAAAATACCAAAATATTGTTGCCTATTTATTATATTCTCTTATTTATTGCTTGCGACATTTGTTATATTTCTGTAATTATGCAACTATTTTCATGTTGTAAACTGCCTTGAGCATGGTCAACTATGGAAAGGCAGCACACAATTAGATGGTGAGGTCCTCTAGTTTCAGATACATGCTGCTCCAGAGGAACTGATCTGCCATTAAAATGAAATAAAAAAGTATCCGGCCCTTAGGCTTTCACAAACTTTTCCATAAATATGTTGACGGTCTCCTCAAAACTGACTCCTGCTCTGTTTTGTAATGCTGATTTTTAAAATATATAATTCTAATGACTCTGAAGAGGTGACAAGACTTTGGGTAGTTTGTTGGGAAGATCAAGTACTGGGCTCAGCTGAAGCTGCACAGGGGGCTACTAAAATATCACTTTGGGCAAACAGATTGTGCAGGTTCCTTTCCTTGGCTATTTGAGAAAGGCTGAGGACTTGCAGTATCCATTTAAGCTGCATGTTAACAATGCAAAGACTAGGAAATGAAATGCAGACTTGTGAAGTGATACATTTCTGGAGTGACTTCTTTTGTTGAACAAGCTGCCATTCCTGTTCTCCGTGTTCTATTGAAATAGATATGTAAAGCAATTCAAATGATTCATTCAATAAGGTGGAGAAACACAGCATTTGCCCAACATAGGCAACTCATAAAGGTTAGGTTCCAGGGGTCCAAGAATATTCGCAAAAAGACGTAAAACCAGGAACCCCTGAAGCCGAGTCTCCTGCAAAGTGAAGGGGCTGCTTGCCCTGCTTTTTGGGTAGGTGGTGAGAGGGCTTTGGCAGCAACCCAGAGTCCTCCAACCTCCTTCCCAAAGCCTGGTAAGTTTTTGTCCAGCTACAGGAAGGAGGCTTGAGGGCTCCAGGATGTTGCCAGAGCCCTTGCACTGCCTTCCCAAACCCGTGATTGCAGCTTTGAGCAGGTGGGGAGGATGACTCTCTCCATTTACTTACTTATTTCCTCCCACCTGTGCAAAGCTGTGATCACATAAGTAAAATAAGCATAAGTTGCAAGCTAGCTGCACGCATGTTGGTTTTTAAGACAAGCCAGTTTTGAGCCTCATGGAATACTTGTCTGATCACATAAACATGCAAGTTCTTTGGTTACTCGTATGTTGTGGGCAATCCAGATTCCCATGGCTCAAGTGCTACTTCTCTGTTCGTTGTGGGGATGGCACATTCCCCCAGTGTTCAAGATTGCAATGCCATCCCCAAAACCCTCTTCCCTGTGCTATTACTGCCAAGTCAAACGTAATCTGAAAGGTGCCTGTGGGAATGTCATAGAAGCCTATTGGCCAGTATCCCTACCACCATTCATGTCACAGGCGTAATTCCATAGGTTCCTTTCACTCCCCAATGTTTTGTAAAGGTTACCTTTAAAAATCCCTTGATGCATAAATAGAGAAATGTATTCTGCATACGAACGAATAGCGTAATCTAGATTGGACCTACAAGGTTGGCCCACCGTTTCTTCCCAGCGGATCTAATTATTACCTATTTATTTGCAAGGACCACAACACACAATTGGACTAATTTGAGTTAGAACCACTGTGCAGATCCCTTAAAAAATGTGTACCACGTCTGCTTTATATTAGTATCAGTTTGAAATGAGACCAACAAACTTTTCCTCTTCCACATATCCTTACTCCCCATTCCATAATGTTTTTAAACATGCATAAAAATGGAAATTTGGACAGAAGTCCATGTCAAGATTCTCTTAGTGGAAACAGAGCTTCAGTTGTACTCCATGCATTTTTCTGTCTCATCGGCTGCATACAAATCCAGTAAAATTCCACGAGCTTTGCTCAGATTTATTTTTTAAACAAAAGTTTTAGTTTAGGCGACATGAATAATACTTATACAAAAATCCAATAAGGTATTGCATTGCATAAATAAAGGGTTTTAAAAGTCAGATTTATATACACGCTTACATTAGTCAAATTAGAAGGTACACCTTGTAATAGAAGCTCCTACTACAAGGAGAGAGGGGGGGAAATGGAACAAACAAATGTTGACTTAATTTCACTTAATTTCACTTAATTTAGAAAGCTCATGGCTACCAACCTTTTTACAACAATCAAGCCAAAAAGGTTGAAAGGGATACAGCGGTAGGCGTAAGAGTGAGGGGGGAAAGACTGTATCACAATCTAGAACAAAGTTCTATTGCTACATTTATGAAAGAGGTTGCACTGGTTTATTTCCTAGTGGGTCATAACACACATACAGTACTGCCAAAATTAGTGTCATTAAAATCTTCCTTCTCCTACTTACACTACCCTGTTAATTGTTTTTGAATATCAGGTTTAGATGTGAAAAAATGTACTGCACTGGGAATAACAAAGATATGTCATAAAATTTATAGTTTAAAAAAAAACGCAAACAGATAAGAAACTTGTTAAAACCCTGCAGATTTCTGGCAAGAAAGTGCTATTCCTGGTAATTGGCCTCTAAGGTCTTTTAATTTTAAAACCCCCCCAGGCCATTTCACTTCATGCATTTTGTGGAACAAAATTAAAATAAAATAAAAAGGAAGAGCCAGGGGTAAGGGGGGCAAAAACGAAGTATTAAAACGGGGGAAAGACAGAAATGGGAAGCAATGAAAATATCCCGTTATGCCACACGGTATGCTTTCAAGAGCGTGAACTCCTTCCTGTTAGTACGCGCAGCCCAGATGAAAAGGGCAGCAGCCATGAACTGCAGGGGTGCTGAGACACAGGCCAGACAGAAGGACCAGCCGAACTGGCCTTGCACCTCTTCTGGAGGGGTTAGCTTCTGGTGGAGCAGCTCAATTCCAGCTACATAGCAGCCAACTGAACCCAGCGTGCACAAACCTGGAGAAGAAGCAGTAAGTATATTTTGGTCAGCCTTACAGCACCTAATTCTTGGCTCACCGCATTAAGATATTCACGTTTCAGCACTGAATACAAGGGATGAAGTTTGCCAAGAGGACTCACCCGCTAGAAAGTGGAGGACTCCGGTGGCAATGGCGGGGTAGAGACTGCGGCAGGCGCATGCACAGACCCCAATGAGAGCCCCAAAACACATCAGCCCAAGGCTAACAAAAGGCAGGAGGAACTGCAAGCGCCAAAGATCTAAAGGAAATAGGGAGAGGAACATGGTTGGGATGTTCCAACTTTAGGGCCTTTCACTCCAATCTCATGGTGCAAAATGCATTGTTTCCAACACAAACGGAGAGTAGTTCAATCTACTATCTAGTTACTTATTTGCGGCAGAGCCCAAGAACTCTAGCTTTTTGTCTGTGCTAAACAGTACAGAAATACATCACATAATAAAACAACATTGAATTTTGCAGGGTATAACTGCTAAATGAAAGACTATGCTATATGTATATATAAGAATCCCAAGTAAATTACCAGAGCATCATAAATGACCTGAGCTGCAATACTAAACATACTTTGCATGGGAGTAAGTCCTGTTCAACTCAGTGGAATTTACTTCTGACTAGACATACACAGGGCTGCACTGTTGACCGACTTTGACAAGGTAGCATACTTTCCATTTATCCACATTTGATGGAGGCAAACATGTCTTATGGCCAAGTTAAAACATGTCTCGAGTCTTTCTCATTCCTATGTCTATTCAGAAGCAAGTCCCACCAGGTTCAATGGCTCTTACTCTTTGGTAAGGTGGGCAGAGGACTGCAGCCTCAGATACATTTTATCTGCTACACAAAACCCAAAAAATACTTACAGGTCCGGTTCAGATCACTGCCACTATTGTGATTCCCAGGATCCTTATATTTTTCCATGAACTGATCCGAAAGGGAAAAACTGACGCACCTTGTGACCATCTCAGCTTCCAAAATGAAAAAAGAAATAACCTTTATTAGGCTCTGCTTTGCTTGACTGTCATTCTTCATTCACGCACATACATATATCTAGGTTAACTTAGGTGTGGTGGGGAACCTCTGGCCTGTGGGCCTAAAGAGGCCTGTGAGGCCTCACCATTTGGCCCACAAGGCCATTTCAGTCAAGCCATGGCCACCTGATGCCATGTATGATGTCAGGTGTGGTAAAGGCCTGGCTCAGGCAAATGGGGTGAGGTATGCAGGTACCTGCAAAGCCCTGTACAGTGGTACCTCGCAAGACGAACGCCTCGCAAGACGGAAAACCCGCTAGACGAAAGGGTTTTCCGTTTTGGAGGCGCTTCGCAAAGCGAATTTCCCTATGGGCTTGCTTCGCAAGACGACAGCCCATAGGGAAATCTCCGGGACAGCGGGGAAGCGCAGCGCGTCTTCCCCGCTGTCCTTGGACCTCCTCCGAAGCCTGGTGGCGGGGCAGGGACACCTCCTCCCGCCGCCGCCGGGCTTCGGAACGATGCCCCGATGCCGGGCGACGGGGCGGGAACGCCTCCGCCGCCGCGCGCCATCGGGACGGTGCCCCGATCCCAGGCGGCGGGGCGGGAACGCCTCCCCCCGCCGCCCGCCATCGGGACGATGCCCCGATCCCGGGCGGCAGGGGGGGGAACGCCTCCGCCGCCGCGCGCCATCGGGACGATGCCCTGATCCCGGGCGGCGGGGCGGGAACGCCTCCCCCCGCCGCCCGCCATCGGGACGATGCCCCGATCCCGGGCGGCGGGGGGGGGAACGCCTCCGCCGCCGCGCGCCATCGGGACGATACCCCGATCCCGGGCGGCGGGGCGGGAACGCCTCCCCCCGCCGCCCGCCATCGGGACGATGCCCCGATCCCGGGCGGCGGGGGGGGGGAACGCCTCCTCCGCTGCCCGCCATCGGGACGATGCCCCGATCCCGGGCGGCGGGGGGGGGACGCCTGGGCGCGCTGATCTCAGCGCGCGCAGGCTTCGGCATGCTGGCACCTGTCCGCAAGCAGCGGCAGCGCTGCCGCTGCTTGCGGAGAGGTCCGCGAAGCCTGGGCCAGACAGCTTTTGAAGGCAGGCGGGGGGAGCAAAGACTTTCGCCCCCCGCCAGCCTTCAGAAGAGGTCCAGGACCTCTTCTGAAGGCTGGCGGGGGCGAAAGTCTTTGTCCCCCCTGCCTGCCTTCCCAGGGGCTTTTAAATCGCCCCGGACAGCGGAGAAGTCCTCCGCTGTCCCAGGTGATTTTAAAATGCCGCCCGTCAGCATTTTAAGATCGCCCCGGACAGCGGAGACGTCCTCTGCTGTCCCGGGGTTTTTTAAAATGCTGGGGGTGGGAAGAAAAGCCCTTGTCCCCCCCCCCCAGCCTTCAGAAGAGGTCGGGGGACAGACTGTCCCCGGACCTGGTCTGAAGTCGGTTTCCCTAGGAACGCATTAATTGATTTTCAATGCATTCCTATGGGAAACCGTGCATCACAAGACGAAAAACTCGCAAGACGAAGAGACTTGCGGAACGAATTAATTTCGTCTTGCGAGGCACCACTGTACAAAGAAGCTTCCCAAGACCCAACAACCAGCTGATTGCCAATTTTGTGGAACACTTTGAAAGGTGCATCGCAGGCTGTGCATTGGCCTGTATGGTTGGATTTCAAACTCTGCAGGCAAATAAAGGAGTCTCCCAATGTCATTCGGCAGTTCGGCAGCCCCACCCCATACAACAACACATATTGCAGCATTTAAGAAGGAACAGGTTTATGGTTATAGGTTTATAGCCTCTAAGGCACTATCAAGACTATTGATTTACAACAACGATGCTGAAGAATGGAAGGAAGGAAGATACTGGCCGGAGGGTGGGGGCAGCTGCAAGGACTGCAAACGATAAGGCCAAAGGTTACAGTAAGGCAACTCAGCCAGATGGGCGGAGCATAAATAATAAAATTATTGTTGTTATTATTATTATGCAGCTCACAGGTTGCCCAACTCTGGTACTACACTTCCTCTTACATTATTATTCAGCAGCTGGCACTGATCTCCAACTTTTTAAACTTGGTATTGTTCTCAAAACTATTAGTCATTTCCTCAGAAGACTTGATAGACTACTTCAGAGACAAACTAATAATTTTAAGGTCCTAAGAGCAACCTAGATTCAAATGATGGAGGTACTTGCTTAGAAGATACAATTAAAGTTCTCTCTAAGGCAAATTTGTGCATCTTAAAACTGAGAATTAACAACAACAAAAAGGGGGGGGATATGTCTGCTCAAGCGGGACCTGATAACCTAATCAATTAATTCATGCACCAGTGCTTTGCATTCAAATGATCCTTTGGGAAAATGGCACTAAGAGAAAGACGCATTTAGAGACACTTTCTGAAGTAGGTTTACTTGGTGAGTTGAACCAGTAAGAGTTCTCAGCCATCGTGATGCATCTCCGCCATAGTCCAATGGTGCCGTTCCATCGGAAGAGCGCTTCTGTATAAGACTTTTCATCTTCACCAGTGAAATCATCCCAAGTGGCCTTAATTTCACTGTAATTTTCGGGTGGCGATGAGTTGCGGTACTCATACCAAAAGTCCGTGCCAATAGAGGCTGCCAGGTAGATGGTGGAGATAAGGCTAAGCACGCAGGCGATTACCAGAGCAGTGGCAAAACGGTTATCCATCATAGTGTCTCAACTGCAATTGAAAAGAGTAAAAAGCAGAAAGTTTCCAAACATGAAATTTAACTGAGTTAGGAAGACACGTGTTTTTCTGGCTCTAGCCAACCTCTTTCACAACATGCATACGCCAGCTGTTCCTTTCATTGCTTACTTGCAACATTTGTTCAATTTAGTAATTAAAGCAACTTCAGAACATCCCCTCCTGTAAAATTCTACTCATTGAAGTGTATCTGGGTTGAGCATAAAAAAGGACTGAACCAGAAAACAAAATGATTAACATGGTTCCATTCCAGATTATCGCTACAAGAACTCAGGGACTCCCAAAACCACAGACTCCCAAAACAAAACAAAACAAACAAACAAACAAACAAGAGTCTGACTTTTTCCTCCTCCCTTTCTATTCTTTTTCCTTTTGTGTCATGTTTCAGATTATAAACCTGAAAGACTGTTTTATCATTGATCTTTGAAAGCTGTTCTGGTGGCCTTGGAGTCTCATGAGTGAGGTTAAAATCATTAAAATAAACACACACACACACGTACATTATTGCATATTAATTCTGTCTGCTCAAATCAGGTACCTCTGAGCTGCAAACTGTTACTGCTATAATATTATGCTGTGCATCTTGAACTTGATGTATGAAAATGGAGGCAGGGCTTAAGAGATTTGGAAGAACATGCATGTAGAAAAAGCAGTCAATACAAGTGATCTTCTGAATGGACCCATCAGGTAAGCCACCCATCCTAAGACAGAGGAAGATGCAAGCAGACTGGTCTATACATGTAATCAGTTACATTTTCTGTTCTTCCCTGTAAAGCTTCATAAGACTGACTTTAATAATAAAGTAACAACTTTAAAAATATTGTACAATGAAATACGTCGCATTCCAGCTGGTGGCTGTGACCATGATAAACTGAGGATATGATAATTATTTATTGAAATATGGAAGTGGAAACCAACAAAATAATACAATATAACATTTGTGTGGTACTTTAGAAGGCTAAACACAATTCCATTACGACAGTATATCTCCCTAATTTGTAGATGAGGGGAATAAACAAAGGCTTGCAAAACTACCTACTGCGTTTCTAGCAGGTGAGATTTGAACCAGTAACGTCCATGCTCACAGCTCATATGGACATAGAACACACAAAAATGTGGAGTGTCTCTGTAAAAACACACACTATTAAATTCTCTCATTTTTCTCAAGTATCTAAACTTCCTTTCAAAGCTGTCAGTGTTGCAATTTCCTCGGTCACAGTTGTTTCCTTAGTTTTTATTCAAACGTATTTTAGCATTAATTTTTGTATTAAGAGAATGCATTAGGGGGCCTCAGACTCATAAGCTCCCCCCCCCCCGGCCTTGTCATGAGGAGGAGTTAAGTACAGAAGCTTTAGCTTCTGATTTAGTTTAAACACAGCTTCTTGTGCTGTCCAGTCCCTTCACAAACTGTAGCAGAAACAAAGCAACTTCAAATCAGTTTATGAAGCTGGCCTGTTCCAAATACAGTTGTACCTTGCTTTTTGAACAGAATGCGTTCCAGAAGTCCGTTGGACTTCCGAAACATTTGGAAACCAAGGCTTCCGGTTGGCTTCTGATTGCGCAGGTGCGCCGGAAACAATAGCAGAAGCTGCATCGGAAGTTTGGCTTCCAAAAAAAGTTCAAAAACTGGAACACTCGTTTCCAGGTTTTGATCATTTGGGAGCCGAAACGTACGAGCACAGTACCATGGTGTTCAACAACCAAGGTACAACTGCAGCTAAACTGTAGCTAAAATAAAATGGAATTAGATGCTTCCAATCTCCTTGCAATTGCACTGGAAGAGGGAGCATAAGAGTCCCAAGGATTGATGAGAGACATTCTCTTAATGCCATGGTTTTGCTGCGTCTGAACTCACCCACAGTATTACCAGTAGCATAATCACAGTATAAACAGGACAGCAAGCTGACTCAGGAGTGTGGCTATTTTATGGATTATCTTAGTTTGCAATGTGTTCTTTAGAAGAAAGTAAGAGTGAGAACCAAGTGAAAGCCTGGAGCATGGTCTGGAGCTTATGAAGACAATTAAAGGGAGTGCTCAAGAAAGAAGCATTTGCGCAAAGCAGCAGGTGGTTAAGAAGATATGAGCACACAGATGAAGGTTGGAGGCAGCCAGAGCTTACCGTATTAATACAGAAGAAGTTGGTGTACAGAAAAAGGAGAAAGAATGGGAAGTCACAGTTAGAACACCCATAAATAATAAGGTTTGCAAAAGGCACTTTATATTTAGAAGATAGTAAAAACTGAATGATAAAACACTAACAGGAAGAGAAGAAAAGAAAAGAAACAAAAATGTTACCATTTAGATGAAACTAGTAGCAGAGATAATCCGAGCTCAAAAGTAGAGAGTCAAAAAAATAAGTTCCCCAGTGGCTTAGGCAGAAAGTTAAAAAGATTAAATCAAAGATATTGGGATACCTAAGGACCACTAGCCACAGACTCAAAGCCATGAATAAAACTTAATTGCCACAAACCTGTGCTACCAGGCTGAAGTCAATCATGCTGTTTATTGGAAAGTTTATTCAATCTAGATAGAGATTGTCATTAAGACGATGTTGATAGACGAAAATCAAAGTTGAGCAATTATACTACTAACTGGCATTCACCCAGTGTCAGTCAAATGGGCATATTTAATTAAATCACAGTAGATAAAATTGTTTTGAACTGTAATGGGTTCAAAACAGGCCCCAATTACGGTATGTGGCAAAAGTGGCACATGAATCAGCAGTACACATATACTGTATTCCAACAATAGCAACATTGTGTTTTTTGGCAGAAATGGTCACATTCACCACTGTAAAAACTTATGTATGTACCCTAAGTTTTCAAAGTACTTCCTCCACATGATTCATGTTCAGATAATATCCCCATGTGCACAAACAGAATAAATCTCAAATAGAACATATTTTCAACAGGTAGCCCAACTCAATACATGTTTACTTGGAAATTAACCCATTCATTTGAATAAATCTTAATGCCAAATAAGGAATTTTGATTGTTTGAAACATTCCTTCTATCTCACCAAGAAAAATATTGTGGTGTGGAGATTTCCTCTGCTGAAAGGTGAATACTTCAGTGTTCCTACAGAAATCAGGACTGAAGAGTAGCTCAGCAGCTTTAACAAGTATTATTTTCACAACAGTGTCCTCAGGGTACTTAAGTTGTTAAAGGCGGCTTTTTGTTTTATTTGGATAAGAAAGAAGCAAACTGAGGTTGGTGCAAGTCAATCACATTTTGTCTTTAACACAAGCTACTCAACAATCTTGATTGGGGAAAAACAAAACAAATTGGGCAGGCAACACCCAAACCTAGGACAGTCTAGTAGTATTTGTAAAGCTGAGCATGTCACAAGCATAGGATATGTACTATGGATTTCCACCAAGAGACAAGATTGGCTTTTGAAGTCTGCCTATCTTAAATTTAGGAGTTGCTGGGGATAAGATTACTTTGTATTTAAATAAGATGTCAGGGTATACATTCTCACACTGAGGTTTAACCAAAACCTTTCTCAGTTCTTACTAGTAAAGATGTATAAAGAGGAAATATGGAAACAATGATTTAAAAAAAATAAATTAGGAAAATGAGAAAATAATTTAGAAACCAGACCATTTGTAACACAGCACTTTTATCTTGCCACATCTTTGGCTCAAAAATGGGTCAGGCGACTGGTCCTATCCACTGGCTAATTCTGTTAGGATGATCCCATTGTTAGCTCCAGAATTTTACAAGGGTAGTGGAAACAACACTTCCTTTGATAGATACCAGCATCCGAGGGCACAGATTGTCAGTGGGGAGGAACACAAAGCCCATTCATATCCGATTTTGTTGTTTTCCTCAATTATAGTACCAAGAGGGATCACGACCACCAGCGAGAGCATCATCTCAGGCTACAATACCGGGGTGAAATGAAACGTTCGCCCAGGTAGACACATATACGTTCACAACAAGAGAGATTTCCCAAAGCAGAAGCCTAATCCCTTTTTCATGGGCGGGCTGGAGGGAAAGGGGGGGGGGTGAAAGGCCCGCAGGCACACACCTTTCTCTGTTTCCCCTCCTCCATCCTCATGTTATATATATAACTCCACAGCTGCAGTCTGATGCACGCTAAAATGGGAGTGAGTCCTAGTGAGTAAAGCGGGACTGCACTGCACCTTGGAGGCAAGATGCGCATACCAGGGAGTGTGTAACTAGGGGTGTGTGTGGTGGGGGTGATTATTACTACATTCTCATCACTATCAGTAGTAGTAGTAGTAGTAATACTAATAATAATAATAATAATAATAATGGACAGGTGCCTGCAGACTCTGTCGAACTGCAGGGCTGAACCTGCCAGCGTTGCGGGCAGGGTGTGTTTGGTGGGCAGATGGCTTTCCTGCTTCTTGGAGATGCCCATCAAAATAGAAGCCACGGGTCTCCCGCACCTCCATGGACTCTTTCCGGACACCCCCCCCAACCCCAGTACTATCCCACTCATGAATTCCGGGTGAGGAAGTGAGCCGGGCCCGTCCATACTCACCTCCCATCCTCCTCCCGACTCCACGGCGCCGCTTCCACCACCCACCCTCGGCCGACGCTTAGCCTGGGGACGGGGGAGGGGTCTTTTCCTCCTCCCTCCTCCTCCTCCTCTCTCGGAGACGCTCATCCGCCCCCGACCGCCAGGCACCCTGGGAAATGTAGTTCTGGCCGCATCGACGGCGGCGCTCCGCTAAGAAACCAAGGTGGGAGGCGCTTTGTTTGTTGGCCCGAGATCTTGAGGAGAGGCGCTTTCCATTTGCATCCTGGGTATTGTAGTCTCGCTGACCAAAGGCGCAGGAATGCGGGGAGATTGCCTAGCGTTAGTCAAAGTGGGAATGGTGGGTTTTTTCCACCCTCCTCTCTTTTTTTTGCTAAAACTGACCTAAATAAAAAACGTGTGCAGTGTGAAGCACAACATACTGTAGCCGTGGCACTGACGGGGCGGCGGTACTTCTTGGGTGCAAGGGCTGTAGTGCTTCTCAATTGGGCAAACTGCTTTCAGTTCTTAATTCGGTTCAGCGTGCAGTTGCCGCCGCGCCTCTTCCTGCCATGGTTCCAGTGCCTTATAGTGCTAGCCTTTCTGTACTTATCTACTCAAAAGTAACGTAAATTAAATCAAAGGGGGCTTTCTCCCAGGTAAGGGCTGCAACCTTAAGGGCGTAAGGTATTTTGGAGTTTCACCAAAACACAAGCATCTCTCATCCCTTTGGAAACATGTTCACCTGTTGAACTCCTGGCATAGGAACTCTGCCAGTGTTGTGTGTGTGTATTTTTAAGGTGGCAACTGTCCTGGCATGTAAAAGACGTCACTTTATTGCACTTATAAAATATGTTTATAGAATGCTTTAAAATTGTTGTTACTTACCGCACCCCTGAAGCTCGTGCCTATAAAGTTTATAATGTAATAGAATATAGTACTACATTTGGATAAATTCACATTAAAATGCTGATGGACTTTTTTTGTTTGGTTGGTTTTTTTGCAAACTAGTGTGAAAATGTGTGGAGCTGAAATTAAGGCAGTAAAAATGAGAAAAAGAAAACCAAAATTGACAGATTCATTCATCCCTACCTAAGAGCAAGGCCCATAGACCTCAGTATCCACATAGAGGATTACCATACTCACCAAAGCTGTATTCTACTACTGATTGCTGGTTCTTTCTTCAGCTCTCAGAGAACTCAGTGTGTGAGAGAAATGACACATACCAGGTTGCTAGGGTTTATCTTCTTATGATGTTTTGGAATTTGATGGGCTTTCACTGAGTACTCATATGCTTACCATAATCTAGCTAGTCTTGCATGACAGGAATAGAGATGACATCTCCCTGATAATGCAAGATGAGATGTGGCATAACAGGTTTTACCTTGGCACAATTTTATTTACAATTTTCTTGGGAATCTGTCTAGAACTTTTAGATAGGTTCAATAAAGTAGCATTCTTGGATTAACAAATTAAAATACGTATGTGTCCCCAGTTGCTGCATGGTTCAAGTAAAGGCATAGATGGCTCTGTAGAGAAGTAGCCCAGTGGTTCTCAATTGTTTTTCTCTGGGCCACACTTTCAGAATAAAAATTTGCTTATGCAAATGGGGAGCAGGTGCCGATATACTTCCTTGCCAAGGGTGCAAGGGGCCTAGATATAGCTCTGTCAACAAAAAAGCTTCTATTGTCTGATCTTTCATATTTCTAACAATTGAAAATCTCTGTTCACAACAATATGTCATGGAGAACTGTAGAAGAATAACCAGTGCTCCTGAAGAAAGGCATTGGATACTGTTTCTGGTTGTACTGTATACCCCCCCCCAATTGATAGTATACTGCACTGAAATGCTTAAATGTTTTTTTTTTATTGTCCTTGAATTTTCCTGCCACATTTGCTATCCTCTTCTGCCACCCAATTGTGGCACACCACACCCTTTGAGAACCACTGCCATAGTCTCTCCCTCTATGGTTACTCAAAGAAAAGACAGTTCACATACAAATTAAACAGAGTTTAAAACAAGGTTGCAATCCTAAGCATCCTTTTGTTAACGCCATAAAAATGAACAGGACTTTTTTCAAATAAAATCTGTTTATGATTGTAGCATGAATGCAAAATATCCTTCTGTTTCTCAATGAGAAGTCTTAATCTGTGGGGCAAAGCTCTACCATCCCATAAATTCATTTTCCTTCTCCTGTGACCCTGATATATATTTTTTCTCATGCTGCAACTAACAGGGTGGACCAAAACTTGAAGTGAAGAAAAGAGTATTTAAATGCTTCAGAAAAGATATAAGAGCAAGATACTGTTTTTAAGAGCAATATAGAATAAAATCTGACATTAAAGGTCAGGTAGAAGTTTTAAAGCACATCTTTGTTCGCAAGATTTTGCTGCTGTCAGAATTGAGAAGGCGTTGGACATTCATTCTACAAATAACAGCAACATGTCAATTGGTAAAGCTTGCGGGAGTGGAACCCTCCCAAGTTTAGAAACACAGATTAGACAAGCTAACGGTTATTTAAATAACAACCCACCCTGACGAACTGAATTCACCACTTTCTTACTTCTGCTAACCATCTATAACCTCAAAAACCTCAACTAATAAATTGTATTTACAAAGAAACTTAAACCTCTCCCCTCCCCACTTCCCAAAATTTCAAGGAAACCCACCCTACCATATTTTACGATCAAAGCTGCCTGTATAAGCATGCTGGTTGGTCAAATCAAACCAGGCCCTCCCATTCTGTGCTAGACATTTAAATGCCTCGTCAGAGATTGATATGTTGTACGTCAGATTTTTCTGATCATCTGGAAGAAACTGAAAGGAAAAAAGACGAGAACTGTCATCTGTAGTGCCAAAAAGAACATAAAAGTGCTGAAAGCTTCTTCGCACAAATCATTTTTGAGATGGAGAAATCAACTTCTAGCTATGATTACTATTTCTACACAGATTCTCCTGAAGATAACTGCTCAGCTGTGGAGTTGCCTTACAAACACATTTTCCTGCCTGCTCTCTATACCATTGTATTCCTGGTGGGGATTGCTGGCAATGCCCTTCTAATAGGAGCGCTAATCTTCAAACGGCAGGTTCAGAGGCTAATTGATATCTTCATTGTCAACTTGGCAGTGTCTGATTTTATATTCCTTATCACATTACCCTTTTGGGTAGACAAAGAGAGGACCTCGGGACTTTGGAGATCTGGCTCTTTTCTCTGCAAAGGCAGCTCCTACACCATCTCAGTCAACATGTACTGCACCGTCTTTCTCCTCACTTGCATGAGTAGCGATCGGTACCTGGCAATCATGTACCCATCAGTGGCTAGGAGGATCAGAACAAAGCTGTATTCCATCATCCTTTGCACTTGTGTCTGGATTCTGTCCTGCCTACTTGGGTTGCCTACCCTTCTGTCCAGAGAGCTGAGGAGATATGACAACAGCACATATTGTGTGGACAAGGAAATCACATCCACTCACCGGATTGGGTCGCTGCTGCTTCTAATTTTGGCGTTCTTTGTTCCTCTGTTCATCATCTTGACTTTTTATTGCTCCATCACCAAGAAACTCTGTGTGCATTATCAGAAATCTGGAAAACATGATAAAAAGCTGAAGAAATCCATCAAAATTGTCTTCACTGTAGTGATCATTTTTGTTTTATCTTGGGCTCCTTTCAACATTTTTAAGTTTCTAGCTCTGATGTCTGCAATCCAGGAACTGAAGCCACCTTTCTGCCTTCCCTACAAAGTTGCCCATATCGGTATGGAACTGAGTGGCCCATTTGCGTTTGCCAACAGCTGCACAAACCCTTTCATCTACTACTTCTTTGATGACTACATCCGTAGGGCAATGATGCAATGTATAACTCCGTGCACAAAGGCCAACAACTTTGGAACCAGTTCTGATAGCTCGGACACTCGCCTTAGCTACTCCTTGACTGCGTTTGCCCACAGGGAAGATGTTTCTAGGAAGAGAAGGAGGTCAGTATCATTCTGACAAGAGTCATAATTCTGAAAGATCGAGTGCCTCCATGTCAAGAGTAAGATCAAGAGAAGGAGGTAATGGAAATGTAAGAAAATGAAAAGATTAGAACAAATCAAAAAAGTTAATTGACTGTAATATGATTGTATTTCATAAAATGGCATGTTTCTTATCTTAAACCATGTAGCCAATTACAAAGTTCAATTGGAATATAGTCTGTAATATTAGCAGACTTGAAGGTTATTAGGCAATTACACCAAGAGGCTTACCAACCAATAAGAAACAAACCGTGGAAAACCTTAGGTCAATATTCTGCTGTTCCATAAGAAGTACAATATTACAAACTCAGAGCAACCAAACCAACTTATATGTGCCTCTTTTATAAAATCTTATTAACATAGAAAAATTAGTTTAGAATGCATTTTTTTGTTATATTCTGCATCTTTTCTTGTTAAATGCTATAATACTGAATTGTTCAGGATTCTTTTAAAATCTATACTTTTTTTGTTTATCTGCATTTTCAACTCTCGGTGTCTGCACTATTACATGTAAAAACTATTTTAGTTTAACACAATCCTATGTATACTTGAAAATGTAAGTTGCATTGTGCCGTGATAAGACTATATAGGATGACAACCTTAAATAATGCTGTTATAATAATTTTAGAGGGGTTTTTGAAAGAATTATATACATAAAATTATATACATACAGAAATATATACATAAAATATTTTTTCCTTTTGTAAATCTCATTTGTGTAAAATGGTACAATAAGTATTGGAAATTCAGTTAAAATTTCACAGGAAGAATAAAAATTATTCAGCACAAAAAAGAACTCTTCAGACAATTATAATCTGTTGACTTAGATCAGTTGCTGGGAGATCAGTACTAGATATTTCTCTTGATCTCATGCATGACTCATGATTGAGGATAACTGATTTCTAGAATAAAAGACGCCTATGCTCACCACTAATTTTAAGTATTGAGTTTCTTTAATGTTTTTTCATTCAACTTACCATCAGAACAAGAACTTGTTATTGTTGTTTAGTCGTGTCCGACTCTTCGTGATCCTATGGACCAGAGCATGCCAGGCACCACACTGTTTAATTTACCGTATCTGCCTCTCAGAGACTAAACA